ATCTCCTACTGGGGATGTGCCCACAACCCAGGTACATGCCCTTGACCGGAATCGAACCTGGGACCTTTCAGTCCTCAGGCCGACGCTCTATCCACTGAGCCAAACCGGTTTTGGCTAAGGTACGAAATTTTTATTAAAACTTTTCTTACATACCGTTATATTGGCTGGGCCGCAAAAATATTCATTGTGAGCCGTGAGTTTGATGTGCTTACAAGTCTAAAGGATACATTTGATCTTTTAAATAACTGAGACAGAGTTCTACAATGTGTGTACCAGAATTTATTAATCATTTATTACTATCATATTAAGCATTTATTAATGTCTAACAATTAGTAAACATTAAGTTTTTTTTCTCACAAACTCAATTTTTCAGTGCCGGCCATTCACTAAAATTATAAAAAGTACATCTGCAAGCCAGATCCAGCCTGTGGTGTGCCAAATTATGACTGCTATGAATGTGTATTTAGCTCCTTTCATTTTGTGTTGCTTTCAGGTCATTCATTTTAGAGTATGTATGGTTCAGCATGTCCCAAATGATTTATTGTCTCATGTGCAATAAGTTATATTTATATTCAATTTAAAGTATACGTATACCATATAACTAAATGCAGTTAACAGTTCTTTTTTTTTCTTTAAAGATACTCTATGCAGGAAATGTATGATGTAGTAGCAGAAATGGAAGATTACAAGAATTTTGTTCCATGGTGCAAAAAATCCAATATAACATCAAAGAGATCCGGATACTGCAAAACACAATTAGAAATTGGATTTCCACCTGTAGTGGAGCGCTATACATCTGTAGTAACCATGGTGAAACCACATTTAGTTAAGGTAATTGTTTTACTTATTTTAAATATTTCCCAAATATTGATTATATAAAATGGGTTCAAGTGTAATTGATTTAAAAGATTTTCCTAAACTAATAGAAGAGGAGTAAAATAACCACTAACATATGAAAATGAGCTTTTTTTTCCTTCTTTCTGTTGAAGACTGTCACTCACAGGAAAGACTGGGCCACACAGTGAGGAATGTTTTAAGTTAATCTTTGCACCATTTTTTTTTTAAGGAAGGTACAAAAGATAAATGTGGAGGGCATAAATATTGCTATGGCCCTGCCATGTACCAGGTACTGAAATGCTAGCTGCTATTGCATGTGTTACATTAATCCTCTCACCCTTATCAGCAGAGGCTACACATATAGGAAAGGTACCGAAAAGGCAGGTTCCATGGGGTAATACCTGTTTCCTTTGAATTCCTAGAGTGTGGTGACACAGACTTTTACAGCTGAGTTATGTTTTGTGCCCACAGGATTAGGTGGTGATACCATTTTTTGGTAATTGGCCAGAGCTAAACACCTTTGTCAGTTCTTTGTCAGGCATTGAATGAATTGTAACTCATAGTAGAAAGCGTATGCTTGCTCAGTGAAGCTAAGACCTTCAAGTCCACCCTAGTCTCACTCTCAAACCTTGAACTCCACTTAAGAAACTGTGTTCCATTCTGGGATTTTGCCATTATTATGAATGTTTTAGAGTTTTTACCTACTATATGTAATTGCCTCTCTTATAATAGCTATAATTTAAATAGCTACTGATTGAGCTATTTGTAATACTTTAGTTGAATTACTCATTTAATCTTCACCACATTCCTTTGAGATTCAAATGTTATTGTTCTTATCGTATAGTTGAGCAAAATAAACCTCAGATGAGTTAGATAACTTGCCCAAAGTTATAAAGTTTTTATAAGACTCTGTAACTCAGTCTTTTTGATATCAATGAATATCTCTATAATCTTTATTCCCTGGCTTCAATCTCCTACCATTTAAACTCTTTTAACTTAAATCTTAAAATATTATAGGTGTCTAAAAGAACTCTAAAAAAAAAATCGCATTTTCTCCCTCTGGCTTTCTTCTCTTCCCTGGCTTCTTAACACATAGAGGATAAAGTCAGTCGTTTTATTGTCATGGGCCCGTCTACTCCACCAGCCTCCCTCACACACAATATTACAGCTAATGTTCAGGCAGTGCCGTACACCTTAAAGTCCCATGGATGTCCCATACGGTGCTGCTTCCACAGCCCCGTGCCTTTGCATGTTGTTCACTAGTCTACCTAGAATGAACTTGACTCCTTGCCCTTAATTCGTCAAATTCCAGCTGTCTGGTGTTGCTTCCTCCCTTTCCTTTCATATAGATAATCAGCTTCACCTCTGATTTCTCTGGGCTTTTTACATGCTTTATTTATCTCTTAATACTCAATGTAGCCGAAACCGGTTTGGCTCAGTGGATGGAGCGTCGGCCTGCGGACTGAAAGGTCCCAGG